GTCCTTGTCGCTCCGTCGTCCCTACCTCGCCTTTTGTTGGGAGGCGCGAGGACACAGTGTGTCATGGTCTCGTGACGGCGTGGGTGAGGTTAGCCTCGAAAAGGTTCGTTCGCCTAACTGGATTTCCTGAATGCTCACATGGTTATCATTACTGAGCATAAAGCATCCTTATCACCTGTGTCCTAAAGCTAATTTTCAGCACATTTAAGCCTGTTTAACTTCAAGCTGTTGCATTTTTTCGCTACTTTTAGGCGAACGCATGACAATAAACGACACATAAAGCTTTGTCCGCCCCAGAGGGTAGTTTTACGTTTGCCAGCGAATATGTTCGTCATTTTCTTCAGGGCACAGTTTAACTTTGTGTCACATCTGCCCTACCTCCCCCCCTATTTTCACACCAGCTGCGTCCCAATGGGAAGATAAATTGAAAACAATTTGAGAAGGACGTTATGCAGGGGCTCACAGGACTACGTTGCTACAGACACACACACACACACACACACACACACACACTGCACATACTCCACTTCTGGTGATGTTTTAATCTCACAGAATGAGAGGAAGCCATCTTGGTCTGGTCCTCAGTCCTGAGGAGCGATAAACAGGGAGGAATATGCCTCATTTTGAAAGTGGCATCCAACTTTTTCAGAATTACATGGCTCCATTTGCTGGGATTGAAAGGTAGATTAACAAAATACACATACAATACGCATGAATACATAAAATGCTCATCTATTGTGGAGACAGTTCTAATATCATGTTTTGTATTTCAGCCTCTTAACAAGTCAGGTAGCGCGTTATAAATGTCAATACAGAATGCTTATATGTCGACATATGGCCAGAGATATGTTGAAAGCCTCGGTACATGAGACGGGAAGACTTCTCAGTTTTCTGGTCAGAGTGAAGGAGATAGACAATAATATCAAGAATTTGATCAGCCAATTGCCTTTCCTTACAATCCGCGAAGGTTAGGACGTAGTGAGAGAAAGAGTACTTTGTTATTCATAGTGTTAAAACTGAGCGATAGATCGTTACGTCATTGACTTTCTTTTCGCCTCATTCTCGCCTTCACTAGTGTCTCCTCTAAGTCCCATCAATCGATAATTAAATTGGATGTGTCGGCGGACACGGAGTTTAGTTATCTTGCAGCGCATGACGTACACAGGCTCGTATCCCGCATAACAGAGACCTTCTATGTGAGTGAAACTTTAAGGACACAGATGCGTTCATCTTTTCGCTACAAGAAAATACTGAGGTAACCGGTAAGTAAAAATTCTCGAGGGTGTGACTAGTAGCGCATTCGATTTGCTATAT